AGGAAAGAGCTGCATGGTCTGTTCAAGGAACTACAGCAGCTTGGGGAGAAGTGATTGCTATTAGTCCTCAGATGCAAAGAGGGGATGCTGGGAGAACTTATTGAAGAGCTCAGTTCTAAGGCTTTGAACAGAAACTGAAAAGCATCAAGAGTGTAAGAAGCTAACCTTGAAATCTCTCTGGACTGTAAGCCTTTCAAGCACATGGCATTGGTGCATCCAGAGGTGCCAGCATGTACCTCAGCACAGCTGCTGCAGTGGTACTGCAGGATGCTGGCTGTGGAGTATGGGATAGCTCAGAAATGTTAAACAACTTATACATGTTTTCCAGTTTTTACCATTGAGATCAAATACATCCATGTGTAGGATATGTAGCTATGGTGGGTCCAGGAGCTTGACAGATGAAGCCCTAGGGTAGTATTTAGGCAAATTTCATCTGGCAAGAAAAAAGAAGTCTGGAATCTGCATGATTTGCTTTCAATTGCTACAAACACGACCTTTGTTCTGCTGTGCTGTACTTCGGTGTCTTTGCAACTGAATCAAAGTAATTTGAGACTTGCATTTGAACTTGGTTGACCTTGTCCTGGAGCAGAAGGAAAAGGTTTTAAACAAAATTACTGGCTCTGGGGACTTCATAATACATGAAACTCTGTCCTTTGTCATGCAGTGAAAGACTTTTTGATTAAGGTTAGTGGGTTTCAAATTGGCTTCATAAAGAATAAAGCATAGAATCTTGGAATCATAGAATTCCCTGGGTCGAAAAGGCCCACAATGATCATCCAGTTCCAACCCCCCTGCTATGTGCAGGGTCGCCAACCACCAGACCAGGCTGCCCAGAGCCACCTCCAGCCTGGTCTTGAATGCCTCCAGGGATGGGGCATCTACATCCTTTGGCAATCTGTTCCAGTGCACCACCACCCTCTGAATGAAAAACCTCCTCCTAATATCTAACCTAAACCTCCCCTGTCTTAGCTTAAAACCATTCCCCCTTGTCCTGTCACTATTCATCCTTGTAAACAGCCGTTCCCCCTCCTGTTTATATGCTCCCTTCAAGTTCTGGAAAGCCACAATGAAGTCTCCCTGGAGCCTTCTCTTTTGCAAGCTAAACAAGCCCGGTTCCCTCAATAGGAGAGGTGCTCCAGCCCTCTGATCATCTTAGTGCCCTCCTCTGGACCCGCTCCAAGAGCTCCATGTCCTTCCTGTACTGGGCCCAGGCCCCAGGCCTGGATGCAGTGCTGCAGATGGGGCCTCACAAGAGCTGAGGAGAGGGGGACGTACATGGTCCTAAAGCTGATGTGTCGAGAAGCTCCTCCTCTGTACATTTACTGGTAGACGATTATGTGGAATTAGAATTAAGTGTTGAGACAAATAAAGAATAAAACTGACTGCCTGCGTGAGGCCAATAATAATAATAATGATAATAAAGTGTAAAGGATTTTGAAATAAAATTAATGGACACATCTTTAGCATGTCATACGTGAATTTATCTGCATGACTTCCACTCACATTAATGGCAGCCGCTTGGCTAAATATCTGCTCAGTGAGCTGTTAATTCATCCCTAAGGGATTAAGTTTAAATTCAAACTTTCAGAAGCTACATAATGCTAAAGCTGAAACTTTGCCTTAAATTCATACAGTTTTCAGAGAAAAAAGGAGCAGCATAATAAATTAGCAGTAATGTGTTAATCTGAATATTGAATTTCCAGAATTTAGTGATTAATTTTATATGCTGTGACATTCTGATTCTGATCAATACCTGGTCAGTGTGGTATTCTAGTGTTCCAGTGTCAGTGTTCCCAAAGACACAATGAAAAATAACTAGCTGACAACATGTTTACATGCAATATTTTTTTCTAGCTGCTCAGTTTTCTGTCTACTCTGCCCTGGTGAGGTCACATCTGGAATACATCCTGGGCTCCCCAGTTAAAAAAAGACAGGGATCCTAGAAAGAGACCAGGGGAGGGCAACAAATATGATAAAGGGCTTGGAGCATCTCCTGTATGAGGAAAGGCTGAGATCTCTTCGGAGAAGAGAAGGCTGAGAGGGAATCACATCACTGTTTATGAACATCTTAAGTGTGGGAGTCAAATCGATGGATTTGGGTGGACTCTTTTTGGTGGCGAGCAAAAGTAGCACAAGGGACAACAGGCAGAAATGGGGATGCAGGAAGTTCTATTCCAGCAAAAGGAAGAACTTTGTTACTGTCCGAGTGACGGACGGAGCACTGGAACAGGCTGCCCAAGAGTCTGTGAATCTCTTTCTCTGGAGATATTCAAGACCCATTTGGATACTTCCCTGTGCGACCTGCTGCAGAGAACCAGCAGCTGGATTGGATGATTTCCAAAGGTCCCTTTCAACCCCTGCGATTCTGTGATTCAGTAGTTGGCCTAAGCTCTGACACAAGATTCTCAGTTTATATTTTACTTCTAATTCTCTTAGAATTTCTCTGAATTTGAATTGTGTAGTCTTATATTTAAGTAATGAAATTCCAGATGGATTTACTGTGCAAAAAAATCAAATTCCTTTTTATAATTTTAAATTAGTTCCCTTTCAGTACTCCTCAGACTGTATTTGGTCTTTTTCTAAAGAGAAAATTATTTGGAGAAGACCTGAATGTCCTGTAGGCAGTATTCTCTACTTTGTATCTTTTGCTGTGCCTTCACTTATTGACAGTTTTTTTCTAAATGAAAGGATTCAAAACTTTTGAGCCATTTTCTTTAAAAATAATTTTGATGTGTATCGTCTGCTGTGTCTCCACTGATGTATGGTTTGTGCTTCTATTTATCTTTCCTGCACCTGCCTGCATACTTCTAAGCACCAAGAGTCAAAATCCATACAAGTACCCCACCTGTTTATCTGAGCCATAGTAAATGCTTGCTGTGCTATTCTGTTCACATCTGTTTCTGCAGAATACTGTCACTTGCTTTTTTTCCTCACCATCTTTGTAACAAACAAACGTTTCCTTGAACCTCTTCACCACTCGACCTTTAGTCCAGCTTCCAAGCCCCATTTCCCCCTCCTTTCCTCTCACATACAGAGGTATATAAATAAATAGTCAAGACTGCTTGTCCCAAAGCTTACTGCTTTTCTAAATAGCATTTGTAAGTAGTTTCACAGGTCTGCTGTAAACCCTTGCAGCCTTCCATGCTGTGAAAGTTCTTTATCTTCTGCATTATCTGTCATTCTTGCCACTCTCTGTTCGCCCCCTTCCAGACTGATCATACATGAAATAATGCTTAATCCCCATGCTGGGAGCATCCACAGATATTCACTTCCCATGTAGCAAACTGCTCATCTCTTCCACCTCTTTGCTTTTTAACTAATCCATGACTGATCGTGTCTGGTAGACTGTCAGCTCTCTGAAGGAGGTGCCAGGTCTTTCAGCATTGCTGCATAATGCTGTGATGCTGTATGAATATTCATTCATATGTAAAACATTCTAGCTTCATTTTATCAGCTTGCAGTCATCTAGGTGTTTTATACTTATATATTTTTTTCCAATTCACTTTTCTCCCATTGAGATAAGGCTTTTTGCTCTGTAATTACCAGGGTCATCCCCTGCATCTTGCTTAAAATTAGATAAAATATTAATTATTCTCTAGACCTAGCTGATGTGAAGTATGCCATACACTGCAGCTAATGGTAAGAAAATTCTCTTACTTGGAAAATAATCACACTGTTCACAGTGAGGCAAAAGGTCTTATCCTAAACAGCCTCCGGATAATTCAGCCCGTTTCTCCCAAGTTAAAGCCTTTATGAGCACATATCACCTCCAGATTAAATGCCATAGAATCACAGAATTATAGAATCATATAATGACTTAGGCTGCAGGGGACCTTAAAGATCATCTAGTTCCAATCCTCCTGCTATGGGCAGGGCTGCCCATGACCACATCCAAAAAGTTCCCCTTAACTTGAGACTTAAGTAGCAACTGAGGCTCTTAAAAGAGGTGTGTGTTTGAAACTAAGTCAGCATGGCGTATGGATACTTGCTTTCAGACACTGTCTCATACCAAGTAACCTTCCTAGATATGTTCACTTCGGTGAACACTGTTTATGTCTGGTTTTGAAAATGCTGATTCAGAGGCAAAAAAATTTCCTTGTTCTCCCCAACAAAGGGAACTTGCTTTTTCTGAATGCTACAAGTAAAAATTATGGACTTTTTTCTCATCCAGAATTTTACATTAAAAAAGTGCTGAGTGGAAAAAAAAAAAAAAACTAAGGCTGAAAGATTCAACTTTCCTACAGGCAATAAATCTGGGAAGAGAGTTTACAAACAACTTAATTTTCATTTCCTACTGCGACCGTAAGTTTAAGAGACACAGCATAAACCAAGAGGAAGCACAGTCAAATGCCTCAAGGAACAGATATCTCTGTTACTTAAAAGAGTATTTTCACCGGTTTTCAGTGAAAATCAGTCCTTCATCAAGAAAATTGGTCCAGCATAAGCCTAACTCACTGGGATTATATGGTAGCATCCATGTAGAGAGGTGGCAGAAGTTTTCTCCAACTTCTAAATTAACTTACCCATAAATGTATATTAACATCCCTTCCTAGCACGTATAAACCTCCCCTCCCCCTGCCTTGTCACCACCTCCAAATGTAAATCCCCATGGGATTGTTGGCATCTGCTGTAGTTCCACTGCCTGTTGCAGCAGAGGATGTGAATGTGCTCCATGAGGTATCGAACAGGGATCCAATACAGACAAGAAAAACAATGTTAAGACTAAATCTAGGCTCCATGTCCGGGCTACATGAACCTGTCTGGAAGCCCAGGAAGATCTCTCTCCTCAGGAAGGACACTGATCATGGTGGGCATTCACTGAAACGTCCTGGCCTCTCCCAAACAACAGCATCTCTGCCTGTCAGCGAGTTTTTGCCCAGCTTCACAATGCACATGCAACATTGTAATTAACACAGCACCACACGTAGATCTGACAAAAGCCTTCAGAATTCACATAAGCAAATAAAAAAACAAAGTACCAAAGGAAAGAGAGAAAGTACCTCATGATATTTTTTCACTGTTTTCCCGGACACACATGTGCAGGATTTCCAGTTTGAAGTCCCACAGCCACAATTTCCTCCACAGCGCTGGACAAGGAGGCAGCGAGGGAAGAACACGGCATTTGTCAGCTTCAGTTCTTCCCTTAAATTGACAGAGTAGTTTCTCGGAGTGCAACTGTAGCGCTTCACATCGTCATTCAACCTGTCCAGGTCAACTGTAATGCAAAAGGGGCTTCATTAGTAAGGTCTAAATGGGATGTTTTCCCAATTCAAACTGCTCCCTGGGCAGCTGGTAACATTGCGATGTGCTCCTGGTTGGGAAATGTATGAAGTATAGCAGTGATTTCTGAACAGGTAAGCATAAACCCACCCATTTTAAATCACTACAGGTGGCCATCCTGGCTCTCATCCTGCCCACTGTGACTCCCACACGTGGGGCTCACGCAGGCTATAAAGGTGATGAGAGAGCTTGTAATACAACACGGGCCTGGAAGCTCAAGGCTAGTTATTTTACTTGCTGTGTCACTGACCTGCAGGGTGACAGGTTCCACCTCTGCCCCTCTCTTTCCTGATTATACTCTATTTACCTGAACTTATTTTTAAAATTATGATATTTTGCCTACCAGCAGGCATACAGAGGGCAAACACTTCACAGGAGGCTCTTCCAGTGGCCTGCAGATAAACACCTTTGTAGAGAGATCCATCCTTCCTCAGAAGGGCCTCTAAGACAGGTGGCACTCCTCGCTATCCTCAATTGCCTGTCTGTGTTGGTTATGAGTAGAGTCTAGATACCTCACTTTTAGATGCCTAAATCAATCTAAGCAATATTAATTTTAGCTTTTAAGTGCTACTATAATAGGCATACAAATAAATACAATTAAAACTAATGAGCTTCACTGAATGCCAGTGGCTGGTTGATGTTTGAATGCCTGTTATTTCCGTGAGATGCGTCATGTAAACAAGCAGTAAAGCCAACCATAAAAATAACTTATAGACTATCCACTGTGAGTTTAAGTGCTGTTTCTAGCTTTATCTTGCAAAGCTAAAATAAAATTAAAAAAAAAAAACCAACAACTTCTATAAATTCATTTTCCACAATGGTGACACAGTTAAAAGTAACACACTCAATTAATTTTATTTCTATAAGTTTCCTGATTTATCTTTCTGTCCTTTTCTACTTTCTTCTTTTCTATAGGATCCTGTCCACCAACTAAATGTTTAAAATCTTACTAATTCTTTCAAGATTGGAGGATATGGGAACCTGTGCTAAAAAGTGAGATCCTTCAGATTGAAACTAAAAACCAGAAATAAAATTAAAATGCATTTTGAACTCATGAAGCTTGAAAGCTGGAGAATTCATCCTTTTTTTAAATTAAAATCTTCAAATTTTAGGAAAAATGGGAATCATAAACTTATTTCTCAATATCAAATCATTAAATTCATTTAAATCTCATTTTTAAAAAATGAGACAAGTTGCACTGAAAAGATAAATTAAGCTGGACAAAGAGAAATAACATAACATGATTGGAGGGAATAAGACAAAAAATAAACCCATCTCATCCTAAACAGTATTTGTTAACAGGCACTTTGAAACAAAGCAGGAATTGTTCAAATGAGAACTGAGATAAGACACAGATTTTCATGGGCACGTTGAATAGCTCAGCATCCCCTTTGGTACTGAGCACACCTATGTCTGTGCTGTGCTACAAACATGAAAACCTCCAGAAAAAGACAGAAGCACTGCAACTCTTCATTCCATCTGTGACTCAGTCCTTGTCACGCAGTAAATTGTGGAAAAAGCTCTGATTTGTAAATATCATGCACCTTTACAAACTGGACTTGAGGTACTCATTGGTTCACAGCGGATATGCGAGACGCAAAGGTACATCAATGTCATGAGCACTGTTATACAAGATCATAGCAGCTTCACTTCCCTGGCAATATGTTATCTCAGTCAAAGGGAATTTTGCAGATAAATTGTGATTTTATAGCAATCGTGATACATCTTGCTGTGAAATCTCAGTGGTTGTGTCCAGAGATCTTGCATCTCTCCAGAAGAGGTATAGATCATCCTCCTGATACAAGCACAAAATCAATGGGGCTGCTGGTACATGCCTGCACTGGAAGAAAAATACATCCCAAATGTCTACAGTCAGGACTTAGAAGACCAGAGAATATTGATTTTTTTGTTTTAACGGCTGATATTTTGTTCTCCACTGTCATTCTTCAAAGCCACCCCCTCTCACTGCAGCTTATAAGGGTAATCCTCACAGGGAGGTGTTTCCCACTCATCTAAACATTCTCATCAGGATCTCCGCCAGCTCATCTTTGCTTACTGACAAAGCAAGGTAGTATCTATCTGCCTCATATTTGTTTCAGGTGATTGACACAGAAAAAGTAACCAAAGGAAAAAAGAGAGCAGAAAATATTCTGCCTTCAAGATTAACTGGATTTCTTGAGAGGAAAGCCCACAGCCTCCACAATCTGCACTGCAGCAGTCCAGAGGCAGAGATGCCAATACAAGCAGGATCCTGCTGGGGGAGGCTGCCTGTGGACGCAGATGGCATTTGTGGATGGTGCAGCTCTAGACTGAGTTAGCACAAATGCTCAGAACTTTAATTCAGCATTGATCATCACGCCTCCTGTTGAGGTGATAAAACAAGCTAGGCTTCTGGCAAGAGCCTGGTCATTAGGGAGGGCCCCGACCCACGTGGCATCAAGTGGAATCTCTGTGCAGGTGGAGATGTCCAGAGGACTGAACAAAATTTCCCCTCAGGCTCAGCAGTTCTTAATTCTACATTGAGCTGATACCTATTGTCACAGCTGTTGTTATCAGAACAGGAATGAGTCTTTGTAATGAGACTGGCAGAGAGGAAAAGCATTTAAAGGACCAGGATGAGGGTCCTTCCTGCAGAGAGCATTATATCTATTGCAGTGGCACACATATTAACCTCAGTACTTAGGCTGCTCACTTCAAATGGCAAGGGGTGACCAGGCAACTGGAGGAAAGTCTTTACTCAGTGGTGTGCAAAAGTCCAATTTTGATGACTTTCAAAAGTCTTTGCAGTCTCTTAGGCTGAAGCTGAGTCAGTAGTGTGGAGAGCTGTTGACTTGCTTGAAGCATAGGAGGGAATAACCAGATAATTAGGATAACTTTTGCTCTACGCAATATGAAAAGATCAGCTATTTTTGATGAAAGCTCAAAGCTTTCAACAGATGCATTTTTCAGGAATTCCAAAATCAACCAGTGGAAAAATACATGATTTTTAGCATATTTTTCCACGACAAACTATTTTTGAAACACTTCCCATACAACTGCATGAATTCTCTCTAATATAATATCCACAGCATTCTGGAAATGACTTATCTTTAGTTCTTAGGACCCCCAAACGCACGGTTTTCATTTAAGATGTGAATTCCCTTTGGTATATCACATCTCAGGCTCAGAATGAAAGGGACAAAACCCATGGTGGAAAGGTCTTATTGCAGTGATGCTGAAATTATACAAATAACTGTAAGCAGAGAAGGAAAGATTAAATAACAGGCTGAAGAGATACGTACAAAAAGTCACCTGGAGGTAAACCCCATCTTTTTGGCTTTGCTCTACCAAAATCACATTTTTTCTCTGAACCTCTCTCTCTGCTGAAAGCTGTGGCATTTTTTTTTTTCTGACTTGGGATTGTTCTACTGTCTGGAGCCTTTCTATTTCCTCATCCACGTAACAATGAGATTTTACAGTACAGTCAGTTTCATGCATCTGTTCACTGCTGTGACTAAAACGTAACCGAGCCTTGGCATGACTGGTGTGAAATCCTGCTGCTTTACTTATCAAGAGTTGAAACCACTAGTGTCCTTAATTTAAAACTACAACAAAAAGGTTCTGTAGACTGGATGCAAATAACTTCAAAGTGTTATTACAGAATGTCTGCACCAGAGATTCAATTTGAAGGCAAGTCAGGCATAAAAAGATGCACCAGAGCAGTAAGATGGATACTTGGGGTACAGTGCTTCCTCCTTCCTTTCCCTTCAGTTATACACTTAAACTCATTCTCATTTCTGATAGCACTAAAGCATGTACTTACACTGAAACATTGATTCTAATGAGAGATAAACACTGAAATTAGAGACTTCAGAGAGCTAATACCATGTCTTACTTAGAAGGGACAGCCTTAAAGACTGTAGAGGAGAGAAACCCTGTGCTGCTGGTCACTGATTAATTCCAAAAAGACAGGCAGTCTGTTAAGGTTTCTGCTAACACAGTAAATATTCCAAACTAACATACTCCTAACATACTCCTATCTCAACATTTTAACTTTTTTTCAAGCATCAGCCACAGACTGGAGCTGAGGTGTAAAGGGATGGCAGGTCCCTCATCACAATATTCCTATTCCATTTGTCAAGGCCATCTCCAAACTACGCAGCTGCAGATCAGTCAGGCTAATTATGGTAAAACGAAAGAGTGTTTCTCTCTGAAAACAATGTTCATGCACTTGAAAGACAAGGAGGTGACTGGAAACAGCTAGCAATAGGTTTGCCAACGGCAAACTGACCAACCTAAAAACTTGCTCTGGTTAGATGACTCTCTTGTTGGAGGAGGGGAAAGCAGCTCGTGTTGCCTACCTTGATCTTAGCAACATTTCTGACACAGTAATTTACAGCATCCTTGAAGCCAAACTGCTAAGATATAAAAGATTAGGTGGAATACAAATTAGGTAGAAAAACAGAAGGACAAGGTAATCGGGAGTTGCCAAATACAGCTGTTGCCTGGTTACTACTGGTGTTCCCCAAGTTCCCCAAGCTGGGATCTATACTGCTAAAGATCTCCATTAGCAATCCTCAGCATGTTTGTCAGTGCCATTCAATTCTGGAAAATTGTCCTTATGCAGCAGAGTTGTCTTTCAGAGGGATCTCAGCAGACTAGAGAAATATGCAGGCAAGAACTCCATGAGTTTCAGGGACAACAAATGGAAATTCCTGCGCCTGACTTGGAATAACCTTATGCATCAGTCCCGACCAGTAACACCTGGCTCAGCAGCAGCACTGCAGAAAAAGACCTGGCATCCTAGAGGGCAGCAGGCTGTATTCGAATCAGCTGTTTGCTCATGCAGAAAGTGAATTCTCCCCTTCATGAAGTTACTGTGAAGCTGCAGGTAGAGTACTGTGTTTGGTTTTGAGCTCCTTCAATGAAAGAGAAGAATAAACAAGCTTGGAGTGC